GAGCCTCGAGGGAGGGACGAGTGGAGGTCTCCAGGATCGGCTTGCTAGCGGCTGAGCTCAGGCTTCTCGCTAGCTGCTCAGCTCTCTTCTTTTCCTCTGGCGTCTCCTGGGGCCGGCCTAATCCTCCATCATGCTCTCGAGCTCGTGCAAGCCCGCGTGCACCAGCCTCTCCAGGTGCCTCATCGGAGCGGTGCCCTGCTTGTAGTCTGCGCCAGTCTGCACCAGGGATGCGAGGACGGGCGCAATGTTGCGCCGCGTGGAGAAGCTCAGAACCAACTTCACCTTGCCCTCCTCGTGGCAGTTCGTGATCTTCGCCATCGGGACGAGCTCGGCCATCTCCTGCGTCGTCGCCGTGCTGTGCTGCTTGCCGAGCTCCTCTAGCTGCTGCTGGTTGGCTCTGCCCACTGCTGCGCCTTCAGCCAGAAGGCCTTCGGACACTCCCGCGTAGCAAGCCACCAAGATCGTGCCCATTTCTTGGATCTTCTTGCCCGCGTCGGTCTTCGAGAGTGTCGAGCAGTGTCCTTCGGCTGTCTTCGCCCAAGCTTTGACTCGAGCCCGCGCCACCGCCACCTGGAGGCCTGCCGACATCACGAATGTCTTCAACTCGATCGCCTCCAGTTGGCGCTGTCGCAGCGCTATGTTCAAGATGAGTTTCATCATGACTGTCAAGTACTTCTGCATGGCCCTCACATCCATCAGTTCGTCGTCGAGCTCGGTCGTGTCCTCTATCTTCGGGTCCCTCTTCTTCGCGGCGCCTGCTGCTGAGCCCGAACTGGCGCCCGCCTGTCGTCCACGTGTCTTGCCGCCTCGCCGCTGCTCCTCCATGCTGCTGCTATTGATGATGATGATGATGATGATGATGATGATGATGATGATGATGATGATGATGATGCTGCTGCTCATTATGATGATGATGGTACTCCAGATTTCGTAATAAAGGGAGGGGGGTCTCATTTCGGGGGGGGGTCTTTTCCAATCTATCTTGGAGGGCCTGGGGGGGTCTGGGGACGATGTTTTGGAGGGTTCTCCCACGGGGGGGGTCTGAAATGGCTTGTCTTGGAGGGTCCAGACCCCCTCCTCCCTTTTATTACGAAGTCTGGAGTACGGATGATGATGATGCTGATGATGATGATGATGATGATGATGATGATGATGATGATGATGATGATGATGCTGATGCTGATGCTGATGCTGCTGATGATGATGATGATGATGATGATGATGCTGATGCTGATGCTGATGCTGATGCTGATGCTGATGTTGATGCTGACACTGATGATGCTGATGCTGATGCTGATGCTGCTGCTGCTGATGATGATGACGATGATTCTATAGGCTTACGCCACATCCGCCGACCCCTTTTTTCATCAGGGGCTATCGCAGGGTCTCGGGAGCTCTCTCGGAGGCTTTGCGGGGCGGCCTAGGATGCGGTGGAGGAAGACGAGAAGAAGGAGGTCAAGGAAAAGGAATTCGACGATTTTGGTATTTTAGTGTTTCCTGAGAGGCGTACTGGGGGGCCTTTTGGGATATCTTGACGGATTCTTGGTGCCTTCGGCCGCTCCCTTGGGCCCTCTTGGGGGCCTCCGGGGGCGGGGGGCTCGGATTTTCGGTTCGGGCTCCCCCTCTTAGGCCCCTCTTGGGCTGTCTGGGGGTTCTCTTGGGCTGTCTTGGGCGCCTCTTGGGCCGTCTTGGCGCCTTCTTGGGCCGTGTTGGGGCCCTCTTGGGAGCCTCTTGGGCCCTCTTGGAGCGGTCTTGGCGGCCTCGTGGGCCATTGTCAACGCCGTGTTGGCCGAAAAGGCGCATATGCCAAACATGTACGTTTTCCTATAGGAATGGCACGATTTTGGCCTCTGGGGCCCCACTTCGGCAGCCGGTTGGAGGCCTCTTGGAGCGTCGTGGCGCCCTCTCAGGCCGCCTGGGGCCCACCTTGGGCGTCTTGAAGCGATCATTCGGCGACTTTGTGCTTTCTTGGGCCATCTTGGGGGTGGCGTCGGAGGCTCCCAACCGAGCCCGGGGAGCCCAGACCGCCTCGGGTGAGTTCGGCGGAGGGTCGTCCACCACGAGGGGGGGGGGGTCGAATTGCCGGTTTGGGGTCCCGGGGGGGGGGGGGGGTATGGGGGGGAACAATCTCACACGCCTAGAGACCCGCAAGGGGTCGGCGGATATTGATGATGCTGCTGATGATGATGATGATGATGATGATGATGATGATGATGATGATGATGATGATGATGAAGCTGATGATGATGCTGATGCTGATGCTGATGATGATGATGCTGCTGCTGATGATGATGATGATAATGATGATTATGATGATGATGATGATGATGATGATGATGATGATGATGATGATGATGATGATGATGATGATGATGATGATGATGCTGATGCTGACGCTGATGCTGATGGCGATGATGATGACTGACGATGACAGTGATGATTATGATGACGATTGTGGTGATGGTGATGGTTGTCGATTGCTATGTTGGCCGTGAATCTGCTGACTATGCTGTTGTTGAGCTCACACTTCTGAGGGTCAACTGTGGCGGATCCCGTCCGTCCAGTGCCCTACCGTTTTTAATCGATCGGAGCGCGCCCCTCGACGCCCGAACAACGTTTTTGGGTGGGGATGGCCTGTGTTTGTGTGTGTGTGTGTGTGTTTGTGTGTGTGTGTGTTTGTGTGTTTGTGTGTGTGTGCGTTGTGTGTGCGTGTGTGTGAGCCCGGCCCCCGTTGCAACGACATCCGCACCCGCGCGGCAGCTCCCCTCACAGTTCTGGCCCTCCCGGCTCGCTCTCGGGGCCACCAGGCCTCCCGATGGCCTCGTTTCGGCGGCGAGCCCAGGGGCGGGGAAGTGAGAAGGGGGCGGGCCTCCTCAGAAGGCTCGGAAGTCACCCGGCCTTTGAGAGGCTGTCTAAGCCTTCCCCGAAGACACGGAGCACCTCTCAGAAGGCCAAAGGCCTTCTGAGAAGCCCCGCCGCCTTCTGAGAAGGCCTCCTCCTCACTTTCCCCCCTCGCTCGCCGCCGATCATTGGCCCAGCCTTCCTCGTCTCTCCCTCCTTCCTCGCCTCCTGGCTCGTGCCTCCTCGCTCCTGGTTCGTGCCTCCTCCCACCCGCAGCCGTCCTCCTCTGCTCGCCGTCTTCCTCGCCGTCCGCATCCCCCTACTCCGCCTCATCCCCATCGAGGCTGATGGGGGAAGGGCGAGGAGGACGACGAGGCTGAGGAGGAGGAGGAGGAGGACCAGAGCATCCCGTCCCGAGTCCCCTCGCTACTCGGCGGGGAGCGAGGGGGGGAAACGAGAAGGAGAAGGCCTTCTCAGAAGGCGGCGGGGCTTCTCAGAACCGCTCCGGCCTTCTGAGAGGTGTTCTGTGTCTTCGGGGAAGGCTTTTAACATTTATCAGAAGGCCAGGGGACTTCAGGCCTTCTGATGAGAATGCCCGCCCCCTTCTCACTTCCCCCCCGGGCTCGCCGCCGAAGGATCAGGCGGCCCAGGAGGAGGAGGAGGATGAGGACCAGAGTTTTCCATGCGTCCCTAGAAGCTTTCGTTTTCACCACAAGCAGCGCCACCCTTGAAAGACCAGTGCCGAATGGTCCTGCAATTTTGACGCGTGCCCCGTGTTGAAACTGAGCCGCCGTGCATCCGTCTGGCGCGTAATCAGGGAAGTGAGAGCCACGACCATACTCTTCAACGAGGTGTCCAGCGAGATCCCCTTTTGGCAAAGGATTCGCCTCATACGTGCAATGTGTTGCGCAAGTCTACACACGGGGTTATTCACCTCGGGGAAAACTCGAGCTAGAGTTTCACCTTGAAAAGGAGCCATCCCCGATCCGTGCAGACGATGGCGTTTACTGTCAAGAGCGTCTCCAGCGAGGGCACCAGTTCGAAAACGACCTGTGCTCCATCCTCGTGCACATGCTTCACATGTTGCGCGGCGCTTGGGCGAGAGCTACTCTTTGAAAGCTGCCCGCCCCTCATCCCTGAAACTGTTGCACATTGTCTGGACGAATGTGTGTGGCGCTAAGGCGAGAGCCATTTTTCGAAATCTGACCGCCCTCCTTTGAAACTGCTTCAAATTTTTCAGACGAGTCTGCGCGGTGTGAAGGTGGGAGCCCCCTTTTGAAGACGACACGCTCTCCACCCTGAATATGCTAAACTTTTGAAACGACTGTGCTCGGCTCTGAGACGAGAGCCACATTTTGAGAGAGAGAGAGGGGAGCCTCCCGAGGGGGCGCGGGCGAGCAGCTGGAGCCTGCGCAGGATGATGATGGGGAGGAAGGGGAGGCGGAGGAAGAGGAGGAGGGCCATGGGGCGTCCTTTTTCAGCGAGCGAAGAACGGTATGAAATAAACTTTCCGCCGTCGGGGACACCTGCCCCTGGGCGGCTGGAAAGTTTATACCCCTACGGTGCCACCGTAAGGGTATAAACTCTCCAGCCGCCCAGGGGCAGGCGCCCCCGACGGCGAAGCAGTTTATCTTATACCGTTCTTTGCCCGTTCACTTTTGTCCAGTCCGGACAGTTCCCTTCCCGCGTGCTCCCCCGCCCTCGGCGCAGGCCCGTCCTTCGAGGAGTGCAGACACGGAGTCAAGCGCGCGGAGCAGCGAGAGGTCCCGCGCCCATGCGAAATCGCGGCGCGCCGTGCGCTCCGTCGCCAAACGAGAGGCGGCCCTGGCTCTAAGTCGGGCCTCGTCCCTCTACAGGAGGAATATTCAAACATAGTCAACAAAATAGTCTGGGGACGATTTTTTTAAACTATTTTTGACAAATTTTGAATATTTTTTGAATTTTTGGAATATTCAAAAATAGTGAAAAAATAGCTTGGGACGATTTGATTTGACTGTTTTTGTCAATTTTGGAGTATTTTTTGACTTCTTTGATTTTCCCTTAAAATCCCCCTGTAGGGGGACAGGCCCGACTGAACGCTGGCTTCCTTCTGCCTCATCCACCGATCCGTAATCCGTGTTAGCGTATGCCCGAGTCTTGGGCCCCGATGGGGCTGGCGGATTCCTGGTTTCTGCAGGTCATAGAGGCCGTGGCCAACGTCGTGCTCGGCTTTGTTCTCATGCTTGCGATCGAGGGCTTCCGGCTTCACAAGATGCCGCAGTTCCCCTATCTCGTGAGCGGTGGCCTGCAGGTGTCCGCAAAGTACTTCACGACGCAGTCCATGGTTGCGGGCGTGTCCTTCCCCGTTGCCACATTAGCAAAGTCGTCCAAGATGGTGCCAGTCCTGATTGGACAGCTCCTCCTGGGGTCAGCGAAATACACCACACGGGAGTACCTGAATGTTGCCCTTATCGTTGCTGGAACCGGGCTCGTGAGCATGGCCGGAAAGTCCAAAGCAGGCAAGCAGGATTCTTTGATGGGTCTACTCTGCCTCATTGGCTCTCTCGCATGCGATGGCACCGTGGCAGGCGCACAGAAAAGTCAGAAGAAAAAGCTTAAAGAATCGGGGCTGACGGAGAAGAACTTTGAGATGCAATTCCTTACAAACTTTTATATGACCCTGACGGCACTAGGGTTCGCTGCAGTGTTCCAGGAATTTGGACCCGCAATGGAGTTCATCCTCGCAAATCCGGTCATCTTTACAAAGATAGTCTTGTTCGCAGCTTGTAGTGCAGTTGGTCAGGCGTTCATCTTTTTCGTTATCTCCGAGTTTGACTCTCTCGTGTGCAGTACTGTGACGACCACCAGGAAGATCTTTTCCGTGCTTCTATCTGTCTTCACAAAAGGCCATAGCATGAACGCTCAGGGGTGGTCTGGCATTGGCCTGGCATGCCTGGGCATCCTCTCAGAGCTGGAGGACAAGTTCTCGAAATCCGGGGAGAAATCTAAGGAGAAGACGAAATGAGACAAGGAGAAGTCGGATAATCCAAGGAGTAGCTGGACGACGAGTCGAAATGAGAGGCCAGAGCCTTGCATACTGTTTTCCTTGTTTTCCTAAGAGTGATTGCGCATTACTCCAGAGACGGTTTTGGGCCAGGGAGCGAAGCCATGTGCTCGAAAGAAAGCCGTGCTCTTGAACTTGTGGTGCCAGTCGAGTTGAAGGACAGCTCCCGAGTAAGGTTTCCTCCATGGAGGGTTAGGGGTATGAGGAGCAGGAAGAGGTTCAGTGAGTGAGGGGATTATCAGGAAGAAGGAGGAAGGAGGAGGAGAGATAGTAGGGATTAGGAAACAGCAGGGAGCAGGTAGCAGGAGCCACTGAGTAGGGCAGATTGAGGAGGAAGGAGACAGGACAGGATGATGATGCTGATGATGCTGATGATGATGCTGATGATGCTGATGCTGCTGATGATGGAGATGCTGACGGTGATGATGATGAGGATACTGATGATGAAGGTGATGATAATGCTGACGATGCTGATGCTGATGATGATTAGGATGCTGATGCTGATGCTGATGCTGATGCTGACGATGCTGATGGTGATGCTGATGCTGATGCTGCTGCTGCTGCTGATGATGATGATGATGATGATGATGATGATGACGATGCTGATGCTGATGCTGCTGCTGCTGATGATGATGATGCTGATGCTGATGCTGATGATGATGCTGCTGCTGATGATGATGATGCCGCTGATGATGATGATGATGATGATGATGATGATGATGATGATGATCATGATGATGATGATGATGAGGTTGTTGATGATGATGATGATGAGGATGAGGATGATGATGATGATGATGATGATGATGATGATGATGATGATGATGATGGTGGTGATGATGATGATGATGATGATGATGATGATGATGATGATGATGATAATGTGTTTGGGCCTTCTCGGAATTTTGCGAGCATCGTCGGTTTCTAAAACATCTGTGGACATCTCCGGAAAATATCCGTGCTTTGCAAATCTCCAGGGAATTCCCCAGAGCATCTCGGCGGTGCAGGAATCTCTGGAGAATCCCCACAAAATCTCTGGCGTGCAAATCTCCGGCGTGCAGACATCTCCGAGAAATCTTTGGAACTTCTTCGGCAAATCTCTGGAAAATCACTGGCTGAGATTTCGTTGGAGAATTTCGAGGCGCGAAGTGTTTTTTTGGAAGTCGATGGACGATTTTTCTGGCGCGAAGTATTGCTGGAGATTCGCTAGAAGGTTTTTAATGCATTCAGATTTCTTGGAGATTTGAGGGGGTATTTATTGGAGCTAGGAGATTCGCAGGAATTCGCTGGAAGCTTTTTTTTGAGTTTCAGGGCGGTTGCGTTTGCCATGATCGACTCAGTCTAGCCCTGAAGGTAGCCTTACGAATTGGCCCAGCTAGATTTGGAAAGCCCCACCAAACGCTGCAGAACAGTTTTCTTGGAAAATTGACTGGGCAGGGTTTGGGCTGAGCAGGGTTAGCCCATGATCGATTTTTTTTTGTCCGACTTTGAGCGGCGAGCCCAGGCGGGAAATTGAGAGGAGGCAGGCCTTTTCAGAAGGCGGCGGGGAATCTCAGAAGCCCTCACACCTTCTGAGAAACCGCTCCTGTCGTCGAAAAAGGCGCAGGAAATTCTTC